CGGATTTTATCTAATTAAAGGTGGGTTTATACAAACACTTTAAAAAAAAGCAGATTTTACATATTCTAATAAATAAACTCGGTTTTACATGATCATCTCAGATTTTACATAATGCAATCTACAAACACGAGTTTTACCGGTTGGCAACTCAGGTTTCACCCTGTCGTTATATAATTATGCACAGGAGAATTATAATAGGAAATATCTAGCCACAGTTATAAAAATATGATTTATACTATATAACTTAGAACCTGAAATGATAATGCTAATTCAGATTTGGCTTGAGGCGATGCTCCTTTAAGAACAATAGTAAGCCATCACTGATATTTATATGGTAGAACTAAAGTTATTGTTATGAAAATGAGTATGAATTGCTTATTATTAGTATAAATTCTCCTGATATTCTAAATAACTATATTACTTATAATGATCTTAATTATAGTAGTAAAGCCTCAATATTGTTTATAATATATAAAAGGGAGCATATAGATAATAAGAAAATAAAATCATAATAAAGACTATCTAATTCTAGGATTCTAGTAGCAGTAGGATTCTTAGTTCTCAGACAAAATTTTTCACATCTTATTCGAGTAGTCTAGTCTTTGTTGTGATTTAGGTTAAGAACCAGTGACCCAAATGCATACCTTTACAATATATTTTATCTGAAGTAAGCTATTCAGTTTACTATTATACAGCATTTCTCTTCTCATATGGATGTTGCTAAAACTTCAGGTTTTCGAGTTTATTATTTATTATTTACAATAAAACTATTACCAATTTGACTTTTCATGAGGCTGAATCTGTTAAATAATGAATGATAAACTTAAAAACTAATAGTCTTATTTTCTCTTAGTAGTACTCATATCGATATATATATTAGTTAGTAAATAGCAAAATTATTAGTGTTTGAAATGATAAATATATATCAACTTTTGTAATTCAGATTTATTAATACATACTTCTTATTTTATTTATTTGTGTTGATTCATATTAATTTAATGTTTTAAAGTAAAATCAAATAAAGAAATTAATAAATAAATATTGACAAAAGGTTAATATATAATAAATATTGATAATAGAAAAAAATAATACACAATAAAATAAGGGCGTTATTTTATAATGACCCATCGCCATGGCAACCCCATGATCGACCAATCAAAATCGATCACGTGCATCGTGTAACGTGCATTGCGTAACTTTAAAAAATTTATTAAAAAAAAAAAAAAAAAACTACAACGATTATTACAAGCCTACCCGCTTTAAATAAAGAACTAATCTAACAGCAAGAATCCAACATGAATATCCAGCACCACAAAATCCAGCAGCAAAATTCGACAACGATTTCATCATCAAAGACGATAACACCAATAATGAAGTTTTACCACCAAAAGCGATGACACCAACTACGAAAACTCTAACACCAATGATAACGAATCCAATAGCTCCAACAACGACAGCACCAGCGACGATGACTCGGATACATAAAAAAGAGAAGCGCATTAGTAAGTATTAAAAAAAAAAAAAGGAAATGAAAGAGAAAAAAAACAGAATAGAAGAAAAAAAAAAAACAAAGGAAGAATAATGGACAAAATAGAAGAAACAAAAGAAAAAAGAACTGAAAGAGAAGTGAAAAAAAACAAAGTAAATAAAAAGAAACAGAAGAAAAGCAAAAGAAACGAAAGGGAAAAAAGAAACGAAGAGAAAAAATAATGAAGAAAATGAAATAAAAGATAAAAAAAACAAATAGAAGAAGAAATGAAAAGAGAAAGACAAGGCAAAGGGGAAAGACAAAACAACGGGCAAAGACAAAACAACGGAGAAAGAGAAAACAGCGAGAAAAGACAAGGCAAAGGGGAAAGACAAAACAACGGAGAAAGACAAGACAACGGGGAAAGAGAAAACAGTGAGAAAAGACAAGGCAAAGGAAAAAAGAATAATGAAAGAAGAAAGAAAACGAAAGGGAAGAAAAGAAAAAAACAAACGAAATGAAGAAAAGATAAAAAAAAGAAATGATGAAACAAAAAAAAGAAACGAAAAGAAAACAGAGTAAAAAAATGAAAAGAGAAAAAAAGTAAAAAATCGAAGAAAAATACCGAAAGAGGATAAAGAAAACGAAAGGAAAAAAAGAAAAGAATGAAGAGAAAAAGAACAAAGCAAGAAAATGGTGAATAAAAAAAAACAAGAAAAGAAATTAGAAAAAAAAGAAACAAAAGGGAAACGAAAAAAAACAAAATGAAAAGAAAAAAAAAATATGGAGAAATAAAGAAGCGAAGAAGAAAAAAAACCAAAGAAAAAGACAAAAAGAAACCAAGAAAAAAAAAGGAACAAAGAAAATAAAAAATAAAGAAACAAAATAAAAATATAAAAAAAAAAAGCAAAATTAAAACGAAGAAAGGAAAACAAAAGCACAAAAAGCGAAAAACAAAGAAAAGAAAAGGTAAGAAAAAAATGAAAAATGGAGAAAAGAACAAAAAAGCGAAGAAAAAATTAAAATCACATACCCGATCCTGAGATTAAGCGCAACGACAAAAGCACAAAAAGCAAAAAACAAAGAAAAGAAAAGGTAAGAAAAAAAAATGAAGAAAAACAGAGAAGAAAAATTAAAATCACATACCCGATCCCAAAATTAAGCACAACAACAAAAAAAGCACAAAAAGCGAAAAACAAAGAAGAGAAAAAGTAAGAAAAAAAATGAAGAAAACCGGAAAAAAGAAATCACATACCCGATCCCGAAATTAAGCGCAACAACAAAAGCACAAAAAGCGAAAAACAAAGAAAAGAAAAAGTAAGAAAAAGACTAAAGAAAAACGGAGAAAAGATAAAAAAGCGAAAAAAAAATTAAAATCACATATCTGATCCTGAAATTAAGCACACAAAAAGCAAACCAATGAAAGCACAAAAAGCGAAAAACAAAGAAAAGGTAAGAAAAAAAATAAAAAAAAAAAAACGGAAAAAAGACAAAAAAGCGAAGAAAAATTAAAATCACATACCTGAGCTCGAAATTAAGCGCGAAACAACGAAAGCAAAAAAAAAATTCGAAATAAACAAAAATAAACCAAAATAAACGGAATAATTCTTGTTTATATATGAACGTTAATCTTTACTGTGATTGGCCGATCACGGGGTCGTCATGGTGATGGGTCGCCATCTATAATTTTCCTTAAATAAATATAGTAATAGTAATAACAAAACCCGAATTTCGGGTTTTGTAATACGTAGTACAGTATAATTTCTTAAGTATATACTATAAATATATATATTTTATAAATATATATTTAATTTAGACAAATATATTTAAAATTTTTATAAATATATTTGAGTTTAAATTAATAGGTAAATCTAGATCTCGCATCCCATTAGTACTCTAATATCTTACAAGTCATATGCAATGATTTTATTAGACAATATACATTCATTAATTTAAAAAATAAAATCATTGTTTTTATTTAATGCAATTAATTATATGTTATAAGCAGAAGCAGAACTTAAGTGTATTTAGAATTTTATATATTTTTCAAGTTGATTTTACTATATATACACCCATACCCTAACCCTAATTTAACTTTGAAATTTTAAATCTACTTGAATTCTGTCCCCCTTACAACATATACACCGAGATGAGAAAAATAGCAATAATTGCAACAAATATCAGTATTATTGATCAAATTTGTGATGTATAGTATTGGCTGATAGTTTTTATACTGTATAGGCTAGCTTTGATGAAATGTTTGTTATTCTATACAATTTTCATAAGAAGGAGAGTTCAAGTACGAAACTTGTTTTTAAAGAAATAGCTGCACTTCTTTTTTATGTCAATTAGAATTTAAAAAAAAAAAAAAAAAAAAATCTTACAGCTAGTATTAATGATATAGTTAACAATATAATCACTAACAATGACCTAATCATGATCTAATCACCTGTACCAATGACTATGCTTCAATAGCAATCAAATCAACAACCTATAAAGAACAAAATACAATAGTACTAACCACAATTTAAGTATATACCTAATTAGTACTAACAACAACTTACTTAACGGTACTAATGATGACTAATCAACAATATCAGTTTAATTAGTGGCAGAACAAAAACAAAATATAGTAGCACCAGCTACAATCTAATTACTTACTAACAACAATCTAATTACTAATACTAATGCAACGTCTACTCAGCAGTACCAGCGATGACTAAACAACAAACAATCAGAATTTAATAAAAAAATGAAATACAGTAGCACAGCTATGACTTAATTATTTATCAACAAAAACTTGAACACCAGCACTAATCCAAAATAACGTAGCAGTAATTATCTGCACCTACAAACAACGTGACTGCTATAGTTTAAAATAAAATAAAAAAATTTAAAAAATAAATATGATCTACGTGATGCACATTCTGATTGAATAAAATATCAGTATTAATTCTATAGAGAAAAACTATTTGCTTAATTTAGATTGATATCTGTCAAAATAATATTATCTTGTTGTATAAGATGT